GAAGCAGAAGTAGATGTTTTTCTGGAACTCTCTGGCTTTCTCCATAATCCAGCGCATGTTAGCAATTTGGTCTCTAGTTCCTCTGCCCCTTCGAAATGCAGCTTGTACTTCTGTGAGTTCTCAGTTCACATACTGCTGATGCCTGCCTTGTAGGATTCTGAGCATAACCTTGCTAGCGTGTGAGATGAGGGCAATTGTACAGTAGTTGGCGCATTCTTTGGCACTTCCCTTCTTTGAGATTGGGATGTAGACTGATCTTTTCCAATCCTCTGGCCACTGCTGAGTTTTCCATTGATGATGATTAAAAAAACACACTAGTCCTCTGATATTGGGCTGTGGCACCAGGGTGGATGACATGACCTTTAGCATAGTTTGTTCCTTTTTGCACACCACACATAGAATGATTAAAGTGGTAGGGAAAGCCCAGTCTCCAATTCTGTGTTGGCTGTCTCTAGCAAGCATGTCATAGCTAACACCACTCTGGCAACCACTGATGATGATTAAATCCTCTGTGAGCTAGCAAAAAATTAATGCAACTTGCTAGGCACGTTGGACACCTTACTACTCCCTATACCACACCATGGCTGGAGTGCAATGTGTTCCAGCAAAAATAGTGCAAATCTTTATCAAATTTGGTGCCTCCTGCTAGTTCGGCACACGGCCTGTGAGGAGAAAGAGTAATGCATCTTGAAATGTGATATCCTGAGAGAAAAGAGAATGCTGCCTTCCCAGCAAAACCAGATTGTATATTGACCCATCAGTACTCTGAGTACTGGATTGCCCGACTATTGAATATTTTGTTATGAAATGGCAGGCCAGTTATGAAATTTTACCTTCTACATCTAGGAGAAAGAGTAATGCATCTTGAAATGTGATATCCTGAGAGAAAAGAGAATGCTGCCTTCCCAGCAAAACCAGATTGTATATTGACCCATCAGTACTCTGAGTACTGGATTGCCCGACTATTGAATATTTTGTTATGAAATGGCAGGCCAGTTATGAAATTTTACCTTCTACATAGTGCCTTGTACAAAATTAACTTACATGCCCCCCCTCCAAAAAAAAATACTCACCATTCAATTGCACACATTCAACATGTGTTTTCTCATATTCACACATTTCAACAACTGGTATTTGTCAAAGCAAAACCATCTTCCTCCTATTCTGTTCTCTTCCCCTTTTGGAAAGATTGTTGTTGTTTTGTTATCTCAGAGCATTTGCTCAAGATAGAAGGAACAAAAACTACTTCTCCAGCTTCAGGGAAGCTCTTTTAATTCCACTGTCTCCTGGACAGCATGTGTACTTTCATGTTTGGTTTCTGTCTTGGGTTCTGGACTGGAAAAGGTCAACTGTGTCCTACATCTGCTCCAAACATTGATCTAAGAATGTAGGGTTGCCAGATGATCATCCAGAATTACCGGTAGTTTGGTAACAATATATTCTCTGGTACTGTAAATGTCCTAGGAAGACTTGGTCTCCCTGTTTTTCAGCACTTCTGGTCACTTCCTGTGTCAGCCAGACTTGGATCCACTCTAGCAAGTGCTAATTTTTAAAGAAATGTTCCAGTCAAACTCCGTTTTGTCTCCTCCCAAGAAAACAAGAATGAAGAAGAAGCAACCAGATTGCAAGGGCAAAGCACTGCCATGCATTTTAACTGTACATCTCTTCCTACTCTAGTCTGCACATTTTGAACACTCTTACCCAGGAACATACCTGTGGTGGCAAATGTTTCTCTAAAACCATTGGTATCCCACGGTCTAATACTTCTTTTCCACCATACTGAAAAAAGAAAGAAACAGGAAGTTATAATAAAAATAGGTAACAACAACAACAACAACAACAACAACAACAACAACAACAACAACAACAACACCACAACAACAACAACAACAACAACAACAACATCCAGACCCTTGGTCTCACCTTTCCTACATTGACCTGGCCTAAGTACCGCAAATTGTACAGCAGTCTGAGGAGAGAACAGGCAAGATGATTAGTTTAAGAAATCTATGAGCAGCACTTCATGTACTCAGATACAGTTTTTGAGATGGTTGAAGCTGCACACTGAAGTCTTTTGGCTTCACACAAAATCTTTGCTGGATGATTTTGAGTGGCTATACTATCGCAAAAAATGTTTACACTAGCTGTCTGACACTAGCACAAGGACAACATCTGAATATCACATACACAGTGTAACAACAAGGGACTGGTGCAGGCACGTTCAGATGGCTGTCTCTCCTTATAATGCAGAACAGGATAAGCAACATGTTGGCCTCCCAAACAACAATTACATCAACAATCATGTGGCATCAAATCAATACTGACTAATGGCGACCCTTCTCAGGGTTCTCTAGGCAGAGAATACTCAGAAGTGGTTTATCATTTGCTTCTTCTGGAGGCACCTTGGAACTATGCAGCTTTACATCATCCTTTCCCATGAACTAGGCTAGATATAGCTGATAGGAGTTGCAGTGTAATAGTACCTGGAGAACCACAAGTTGCCCACTCTTGATACAGATGTGATTGGAACAAGATCGGGTTTCAAGGTATTATTCAAGAGTTCATTCAAACACGTATGAGCCATTCACAATTGATGTATGTAATGATAACAGAGCACACAGAAGGGGAATCAAATTAAATGTTCCCTCCCTCTCATTCCAGCGTATGTTGCATTTAATCTCCCGCCAGCTCTGCTTTTAGGCAACAGGATATTAGCCTTAAATTTTAATTGGCCCTATGTTTACCAAAAGTATTCCTAATACTCGTTGGCACTGAGCAGGCATTTGATGCGAGAAGAGCAGGTTTCTACTATTGACACAACAACCAAGGAGACTTCCTTAGCTGGCCTGACCTTGGGGCAACTCTTCCTCACCTCACAATTCCCACTTATGCATTCATGCTTCTCCTTTCATGACCCAAATGGGAGAGCTATGGAAGGCGTGCGGTTTTCCTTGAATACATATCACTTTCTGCTCCAACCCACAGAAATGCCACACAGCACTGTTTCATTGTATCTCATCATAACACCTGTGATCAGTCTGTACCAGGTGAATAGGCAGGTACAACAGCTCAGGAACCAAACTACACAGGCTGTGGTCTGAATTCATGCAAGGCTATCCCCTTTGTTACAGTTTGTTGACCCTGAAGCCTGCAAGCACTTAGCCTTCGCCCACCACTCTGGGCAGTCCCCTACCTGCCTCCCTGTAAGCTCCGGGCTTCGCTCTTTTCTTTGCACTGATGCTCATGCTGGAGCTGGAAGCTGGGAATTTTCTCACGGAGAATTTTCAGGTAGGGCAACAGAGGCTTGTACATCCCTCCATCATGCCATTTCCACCGGATTAGGCGAAAACTCAGTGGCTTGCCCTTCAGTTTCTGTAACACTGTCCCAGCCTGAAGGAAAAAAGGGCAGATTGCCAATTAGCAACAAGATTTAAATGCCACACAACAACAGTCCCTTATTCTTTCTGTTCCCTGCCCACCCAACAGCATGGGTGTGCTGTCAAGAAGTGTGACACAGTGGAGGCTTGTTCACTCCCTACTATTTGGTTCAATGCCTAATGCTTAAGAACTACAGGGTACAATCACAGACATCACACATCAGCATTAATGGTCATCGTTGTTATCTGTAATAAGAAAATGGGTGTGCCTGTCTGTCAGAACCAGGGATTTAGGACTGTAGAAACCCAAACATCCAACGCTTGATACATAAATGGGCCCATGATGTGTGCAACAAGGTTCATTTGGTTTTGTATTAAAAGGATGTAGAGACACTTTTTCACTCTGAATGCCACATGAAATGTCATTTGGGCTGAGAGTAGCAAGATGAGCATACATGTACTCTCTTTCGTATCACTACACACACAAACATACACAAACTCCTTAGAAACCAAGAAGCAAGTCTTCTGATGGCTCTACAGTATCTTCCTTTCGTGCACACTGGGAGGCAGGCCCTATAAAAGCACACAACGTTGTCAGCAGCAGTGGCAGCTATTAGGTAGTAGTTTCAACAACAGAGACCAAAGGGGTCACTTGTGGGTCACAGATTGAGCACTTCTGGTGTGTAGGGCACAAGAGGGTAAGATCCTAAGGCCCTTGTCTGCAGGGGATACTTCTTTTAACTCTTCCTTTCGTGCACACTAGGAGGCAGGCCCTCTAAAAGCACACAACGTTGTCAGCAGCAGTGGCAGCTATTAGGTAGTAGTTTCAACAACAGAGACCAAAGGGGTCACTTGTGGGTCACAGATTGAGCACTTCTGGTGTGTAGGGCACAAGAGGGTAAGATCCTAAGGCCCTTGTCTGCAGGGGATACTTCTTTTAACTCACAGAATTATGAATGAAAAAGAAAAGGCTTTCTCAGCAGAGCTCGGAAATAATATGTGTTCCTCTTTTCCCTTGATGGGACTGTAATGGCAGCAATGTAAGGTGAATTTGACACAACTCCGGGAGGCAGTGGAAGATAGGAGGGCCTGGCGTGCTCTGGTCCATGGGGTCACGAAGAGTCGGAACACGACTAAACGATGACGACGAAAGTTGGTGAGGTTTTCTCCACTGAACTTTTTAGCCATCACTGCGCTCTATGTGTAAGATGCTACAGCCTAGATAGTTTCCCCTACATTGTTTAGATTTCACTTGGCACACTAAATTCCTTTGTTGCCCAGTTGAAAAGGTGGGGTGGAAGAGAATTAGTGATTAAAATTGAAAAGGTAGTGTGGTCAGATAAAGGCTGAGGAGTTGGCTTTACTTTCTGATTAGCAGTGGTTTTATTTGGACTGTATCATGGCCCATTGCGTAAGATCTGCATGCATGCACTTCTCCTCCTCCTCCTCCTCCTTTTGGTTTTTCTTTTTCTTATAACTTCTTTGCCACATTTAGAAATAGTTGTTTCTTGTTTTCTGAATACTCCTAATGTTTGGTTTTATTCACATTACATTGTATAGCTGTCATAAACACTTCCATCTGTTTCCTGCAGAACAAATTGCCGCCTCTTAGTCCCTTCTGTGCAATACTGTACAGGGACAATCCCTCTACAGTGATGCATATAATTTGGAGTAAAAGGATACAGCACCTATCTTGTCCCTGCCTTCCCCCCCCCTTTTAAAAAAGGCTGGCTGAAATCCTGTTGCTATATGTTGCACTATGTAAGGCTGATAGCATCATTAGCAGTGGGGATTTTTGGAAATTAAACATATCCTCTCTCCTGAAGGTCTCAAGGCTCTTGTGTAATCCTTTTCACTGACAGGAAGCTGCTGGGGCCAGGCAACAGGAGGGAGAAGATGGAAATTGCTGCCATTGGGATGACTTTCCTGGATTGCCCCTCCTGTCCCACAAACAGGTTCCCAACAATGAAAGTGATGCCATGGATGCCACGGAACGTTTGGGAGAGAAGTCAGAGATGGGGAAAAATTCCTCCTGCTGCTGCTGTCATCAGCCTTATGTGACATAACTTATGCAACAGGATTTCAGCTTCTGTGAAGCTACAGAAGTAAGCCCCACTGAGTTCAGTGGAGCTTGCAAAAACTCAAAGAGGTCTCTACCCAACACCAGAAGAGAAGTTGCCCCCTTTTCAGGCTGTAGTTTTCATATCTTGGAAGCAACTACAAAGGGAGGTAGGGCTAGAGTTCTCCCCTCAATACATGTGGGTGCCACACACATAATGAGTGAATAGGGGCACAGAGTAACACAGTAAGTCATGATTAAACCAGAACCCTCCTCCAATTCTGTTCACCTCTCTCCATTATCAGTTCAGAAGCCATACCTGGAAATTGCTATTCACTCAAACCCTATCCAGATATTGTTCAACCTGTCACTTTGAATATGATTAGAAGGAGAGTGTCTTGCCCAGCCTCCTCTGCCATCTACACATGCGCAAGAACCCTGGAAAATCTGGGTTTTTCATGTGCATAAGGCCTACAAATCAGCAAGATTATTCTGCTCTTCAGATATGGCCCTGTAACCATGGAGAGTGCAATGGTGGAAAAGGACAGGACAAAAGCGATCTCGCTAAGCATGTTAACAGTGTCAGGTTGAATAATGCTTTGAGAGACCAGAATATTACTCTTGCCATCTCTCATATTGATGTGGGAAGCTCTAGATAAACAGAATTACAAAACTCCTAGGGCAATATATACTTTCCCTTTCCTACTCTCTAAATTGGATCCAAGAAACCCCACTTGATTTATTCCACTTAATTGTACAAATACACATGCCACTTAAACAGGGATGGAGAACATGCCATCCTCCAGATAAGAGCCTGGATATAAACACATTTCAGGTAACGATGTTTCCTCTAATGCTACCTTTTTGATATGAATATTATTGACTCCCATTTGTTTTTCTTAAACTAGTGTAATGAGTGGTAATATGATTTGAAATGTTGCCATAATAAGTAATAGTTATTTGGTATTCCTACAACACTGCCTTTTGGGGACAATTAAGGAGATTTTTGGTCATTTTTATATTTTTAATGAGTTTTTAAACAATTAACAGTACCTAAAAATAGTAGTTTTTAATTATTAGACAAATGCAGCAAGCTGACAGCTTAATTATTTTAAAAGCAATGAGTTAACACTTGACTTTTAAAAGGTAACCTTCCAACCCCCTTTTGGCTGCTCCAGATACTGTTGGGTTACAGCAGGCATCAGCTCTTGGCAGTTCCCTATTCCCACCATATGGGTTTTTTTTTAAGCCCTTGATCCTAAAATATGCCCCAAATCAACTATTCAAGTGGTATTTTCCACTCTGCCACAACTGCCCCAGGATCAGGACTCAGATATGCTTGCGGGGTATAGTTCTGATTGGGCTTTGATATCCCCACTAGCTTCAGCACAGAATCAGGCCCCGAACCTGCTTTGACCAAAGTTGCAAGTGGATCCATAAATAATTCCCACTGTTGCTCTGCCTCAGTTTTGTGCCCCACGTTTATTATAACTACGTGCATTTGTAAGGGGATGCCTCCAAGCACATGAACCATAGCTATGGTCAGTTTCTAAATAACAGAAATACCGAACAGCATGTTTCAGAAAACAAATTAAATTAAAAAGTCGTGGAGAAGAATGCATCACATTTTTCTCCCCAGTCTTTTTATAGTCCTCCTACACCCTTGATTCCTCATCATGATCTCCAGGTCAAACGTCTGACTTTTGTTCCTCATGGTTTCCATAGCAACACTGCACAGCTCTGCCATCTGCTCCTTCTCATCATCCCAAAGTAGCACACAACAATCCATGAGTGTCAGGCCCCCCATGCACCCTCCAAGATCAAAGCACTCTCCTTCCACACACCTGTCCATTGCTTGCATTCCTCAGTGAAAACCCATTTATCTCATCAATGACATCTCCAACCAGCACCACCTCATCCACCTTTGCCTGGCTCTGTGGAAGCACGTCTGTGATGAAAATCCGCCCATCCAAATATCTGCGATGGAGAAAACAACACAAGAGTACAGTACTCTCTGAAGAACTAAGGTACCACCTACATGAGCAAAAGAAGCAAGGGGGAGAAATAATAAATGGCTTTAAATCAGGCCATCCATATATTTCTGCTCAAAGCACTGGAGGCTTGGAAGAGCATTTTTTTTTAGCCTCTCGCAATTCATGCCACCCGCAAGAAGACAGCAAATTAACTCCTCACAGGGACCATCGACCCAGGTGATCCAAGCAAAAATAAAACCTATTCTGATGGTTGTGGGTTTTTCGGGCTCTTTGGCTGTGTTCTAGAGGTTATTCTTCCTGACGTTTCACCAGTCTCTGTGGCTGGCATCTTCAGAGGATGAAGATGCCGGCCACAGAGACTGGTGAAACGTCAGGAAGAACAACCTTCAGAACATGGCCAAAGAGCCCGAAAAAACCACAACAACCATCAGATCCCAGCCATGAAAGCCTTTGAGAAAACCTATTCTGTTTTATCCTTAGGTGATGGAAGAATGCCTTGCCAAACTGAGCTGTGTGAAGGAAGCTGGGCAGGGAAGGGAGTGAATGGCAGTAGAACTTTCCTTGAGAATGGGCACAGGAGAGGCCAGGTTCAAATTCTTAGGGTAGGGAAAGGGAAGCGTTCACCCTGCAGATCACTGGGGCTTCCAGTCAGATCATGAAATGTTATTTGAGGCAAGATAACACATTGGCTATTAACAATCACTTTGAAAGTAACATATTATTGATAATAATAATTGCATGCTATCAAGTTGATTCCAACTTATGGTGACCTTTTCCAGGGTTTTCTAAGTGGAAGCTCCTCAAAAGTGGTCGACTCTTCCCTTTTTCTGGGGCTGCCCTGGGACCGCGCAGTTTGCCCAAGGCCACATAGGATGACTCTGTTCGCAGAAGGCTCAGCGAAGGGAATCAAACTCCCTTCGCAGCCAGATACCTAAACCACTGAGTTATCCAGTCAGTTTTTTTAGTGAATCATTAGAGTGTGACTAATATGTTATGATTTAATTATTATTTTGCAAAAGCATGCTTATGAAATAGGTACGGTACATGGCCTAAATCAACCACAAATCTCCCCCAATGGCCCCAGCAATGCTTTAGAAATAACAAGTAACTGCTACTCATTACATTAAAAATGTAATGGCACTAGCAGTCACTGTACTGTTTTGTACAATGTTACCCTCTTGTTCCTCCCTGAATTTAGCACTGGCCTTTTCTGCCCTTTTGTTTCTGATCATGGGGCATTCTTGGCAAAGATACTGGAGTGGTGTTGCCAGTTCCTACTCCAGGTGGATTGCGTTTAGTCGGACCTCTCCACTATGTCCTGTCCATCTTGGGTGTCCGTGCACGGCATAGCCCATAGCTTTTCTGAGTTATTCAAGCCCCTTCGCCACGACTGGAAGGACAGATCCTGAAGCTGAGGCTCCAGTACTTTGGCCATCTAATGAGAAGAAAAGACTCCCTGGAAAAGACCCTGATGTTGGGAAAGTGTGAAGGCAAGAGGAGAATGGGACGACCAAGGATGAGATGGCTGGTCAGTGTCTGCGAAGCAACCAACATGAATTTGACACAACTCCGGAAGGCAGTAGAAGATAGGAGGGCCTGGCGTGCTCTGGTCCATGGGGTCACGAAGAGTCGGACACGACTAAACGACTAAACGAACGAACGAACTTTTCTGTGCACTATCCAAGTCTGCTGCAATGAAAGTCCAGCAAGTCTGCTAAGAACCATATCAAGGAACACACAAACTCTCCTTTCCAGTAGAAATCATTGGGATTTTTGTCGTGGTGGTTATGTTGGCCCTTTGCATGTATTGGGCCAGTCTTTAATGACCCCAGCAAAGCGTGCTGCCCCTGCTTGAGATTATGGGGAGGCAATGACACCCATCCAAGCTAGGAAAGTTATTCATGTTCACACAACTGGCTCATACAGATGGTGATGGCAGTGAGTTCATTTCACAGCTAGCACTCCTACATCTATAGTTAGCATCACAATGTATTCAGGCAAAGATAGAGACCAGCCCAAGCTCCTGCTAGTAAATTTTTCATCATCTCTGCTGGAGCAAAAATAAACTCCAAAGCATCATAGGCAGTTTTTTTTAAAAATCTCAGGAATCAAGCAGGAGCACAGAATGTCTAACGTGGGGAGTACTGCTCTTTGCTACTTCCTATCATTGTCAGCAGCAGAACATCTAGTGCATCACTGGAGGCTTTCGAGAGAATGCTACTCAGCCATCTGTCAGATACTTTAACTTGAGCAGAGGGCTGGACTCAATGGCCTTATCGACCTCTTCCAACTCCATTGTTATATGATCCTATGACAACTGAGTCAAACTGACATATATGGTTTTAACAACCATCTTTATTGAGTACTCTTGAACTTTGCCACACAGCTAACATACACATCATCTTTCTAAAAGAACAGACTTGGTATAGAGGGAATGCAAAGCAATGGAGGAGAGTGGCAGCTCTCTTACCTGAGCACCATTCCCAGTTCCCTGCAGGGGACAGTTTCGTAGGTCAGGCACACCTGGAAAGCAGTATTCATCAGTGCGGTCTCCAGCAAGTTCGCAAAATTCCTCTTTCACCATGCAGAGCCTTGGCAAAGATGGGGCATTTTGCATCCATTAGGGCATTTCATTTCACCCATTGTAGAGGGCAGCTGTGCAAAGCTCTAAAGTCTACAGAGCTCTCCATTTGTCCACAAAAGAAATACAGTATGGGCAATAAAACACTGCATTGAAGGGCTTCCGGCTTTTAAGGAGGGGTGTGGAACATTTGGCTCTCCAGATGTTTTTAACAACTTAAAGAAGTCCCAGCCAGCACAGCTGATGCTAAAGGACTATGGAGGTTGTCTTCCAATGCATGCAAAGGGCCAAATACTGTATCCTCCAGTCCCTTTATAATGTAATTTACTCCTAGATGTAGCTTGGATGAAAATAATCCCTGATCTGCAGAACCAGGTCTTAAGGAGTCTAGAAGGGTTTTGCTAGGAGGAGTCCAGCAAATATACACATAGCTTTAAAAAAAAGGCCACTAGCCACATCCACCTTGGTTGATTTCTGAAAGTACTTGCCACAATAGCCTTCCCTCATACATAGTTGTAGACCTCCCAGAAAAGACCACAAACATGCTTACAGCCAGATATATACATCATTTAAAATCCATTAACTTGACTTTGAAGTGGAAGAGCCTGTAGCATATGGTCCAGCTGACCTCAGACCCCTCTGACCTTAAAATATAGCTTATATCTATAAAATATAAATGCAGATAATTATGATTTTTTTTAAAAAAAAATGTGCTGCTCAGAGACAGAAAGACAGGGTGGGTCTATGAAGATAGGCTTCAGGACTTGAATCAAGGAAACACAAGCTCAAATTTTGCCGACAGGCTTTTGCAAGTGCGAACATGAGTGCACGATTATAAAGCACTTCACAGAAAGTGTATTCAAGGCACCAGATCGGCAAAGGCATGTCTTTTACCATCGTTTAAGCTCTCTATCTGTAAGACATTAACACAGGTGTAGATGTATAAACACATACTGGTATAGACATGGATAAATGAATACTGTATAGACCTCAGCCCAGAGCAGAGGTGCCACACTGGCTGTTGGATTCAGATGGCAAAATGTTTACTGCCTCCAGCATCTACAAAATCTACCCGTATCACTCGATCTAGTCAGGAGGTGCGACTGAGGAGCCTAAGGCCGAGAGAGGCCTGGAAGTCGTTCCTCGGTTATGAAATAATCTACCTTCAGAGATCCGTATGGCCACCTTTGCTGGGTATTTTTAAAAGCCAATTAAAAACCTTGCTATTCAGGCAGGCCTCCCCTCCGGACACTGTATGATCTATCTTCTTGTTTTTCCACTTTGAATGACTTTTTATTCTTGACACTGATGTTACTTTTAACTGTTCATTTTATATGATATATGCTGCCCAGAGTAGTCGAATGACTAGATGGATGGGATATAAATATAATTAATTAATTAATTAATTAATTACTCAATCAATCAATCAAACAAATAATTAATAAAAATGAGAAGACCAGATGATCCCATGATTTGTGCAACTGGAAGCATTTATTTTAAAAGGACATCTAAAACCTCTTACCGGAAGTTGCCAGCTTTCATCCAAGAAACTGGAATTCTACAAACAGAAAATACATCTCTCAGAGGCCAAGTCAGAAGTTAAGAGGAAAATCTTGAAAAGAGAGAGATTTCTGAAGAGGACACTGAGTGAAACCTTTGTTGCAAAGTCACAAATTACTATACCTGCAAATCTAGAGAGAAATCCATTTCTGTCACCACCAGCATCAGAGAGAGGAAAGGCTCTGGAAGGGGAGAACCAAGAATGAAAGTCACCGTCTGATCTCTGAATAGCTTTTGAGACTCATTCTTCAGTGCATCAAGAGAAACTATGAAGAGGCTGAAATAAATCAAATACTCCCAACTATCTAAATTGAAAGCTAACAAAGGCAGATTTCTAAGCTGGTCTCGCCACTCATTTTCTTCCTAAAGCACCAGATAGACAGGTTGAAAGGACAAACGTGCCAAAAACTAGAAACCCCCATGAAGAATTAGCCAAGGTTGTCTCCATGGATCTCTCATCTCTCCTTTGAGACCTCAGTAGGCAAGAAGACATGTGTGACATGACCACCCATGTTGCGCTGACAGGAAATCAAAAGCAGATTGTCTAAAGATCTAATCAACATGTATATAGTGGCTAAGCAGCACTCCTTACACTGTCTGTGTGGCATCTATAACAGTGTCGGGATTTACAGCCTCAAGTCAAATAGTTAACCTCTGCATTAATCACTCCTCCAAGTCTGCTTGGAAATCCAAGGATGCAGAGGGCTGATGCTTCTGGATTGATCCACAAGGATAAGAACTCCACATGGCAGCCTCCCAAGACAGCAGAACTACCTTACGTATGGCTCCTGTGCAGGTCCCAGACATCTGAGTCCTGGTCATATGTGAGTAGCAAATGGCTGTCATAAATCTACTCAATGACAATTATACTGTCATAAATCTCCAATATTCTGACCTCACTCCTCTCTCTCTCACTCACTCACTCACTCACTCACTCACTCAATCACTCACATACTTTAAAATGTAACAAAGAGTCTTGTGGCACTTTAAATACTAATGTTCATTACACATTTATTAAAGCACGAGCTTTCAAGCACTAGTAAAGGTAAAAGGTATAGGTTCCCCTTGACAATTTGTCCAGTCGTGTCTGACTCCAGGCGGCGGTGCTCATCTCCATTTCCAACCCATAGAGCTAGCGTTTGTCCGCAGACAATCCTCCATGGTCACGTGGCCAGCGTGACTAGTCACGGAATGCTCTACAAGCTCTACAAAGGCTAATTAATTCCAGAAACATGTGTTAGCCTTTTAAGGCCTACAACACTCTTCAGATGCTTTTCCTGCAACATGATTACACACCAACATGAGTACCTTCTGGAAACTACTAAAAACATTTGTCATTGTTCATCTTAAACTTCAAATGCAAAAGTATCCGGGCCTATTAAACACAAAGCAACTGTTCCAACAACAGTTCCTGAAATAACTGTTCCTCTTTGTGACACCCAAAGCACAAGCTCATTAGATTAGGAAGGTGGCCAGCAGCCCTTTAGAGACACTGGCAGCCACCGAGGCAGAATGAGGGATAAACCCTTATTAAATACCTCATTAAACTCAATTAAATACCCCAGTGTGTTCTGTGCCATCAAGAATGGTATCTCAGTGTCTAATGCATCTTTATTGCAAGAGTGCAGAAAAGTCTCTGTCTAAATTTCCTCTGTTTTGGAAATAGACTGCTGCATGCAACTCATTCCAAATCCCAAGAAGGCAAAGCTACTTAGATAATGGTGTCAGGAAGGAACCAAGTCCCATGGGAGGTAGGTTGAACTGTGACTGCATCTTGCTACTTGCTTTTACCACCACCACCCCCAGCAGCACTCTGACAATTACAGGAAGAAGCCTCTTGTACAACAACACATGGACAATGCTAGGGAAAATAAAGGATGAAAGTGATGATTTATTGACAGCATTCTGAAATCAGTGATGATCTCGAAACCAAGGATAATTTCAGGAACTGTTATTGGAACAGTTGCTTTGTGTTTAATAGGCTGAATACTTAAAGGAAAAAAGAAATACAGAGTGAACATAGGCGAAACTATATATTTTATCACATTTCAGTGCAATGCTGACTCACTCTGACTCACTGTCTGTTGTTTGTTTGTTTGTTTGTTTGTTTGTTTGTTTGTTTACAGAGCCCCTGGGGAGATTCAACTTGTTTGCATGCCAAAAGTTCATCATAGCCAAAGTCTGAGGAGCTGGATGATCTGTGAGATCATGCAAACTTTTGGATCAACAGTGCAATGAAAAATATCTGCCATTTCAAACACAGAGTATCCTCATTAGCTGAAGGTCAAGGACTGTCATAATGGCCCAAGAAAACAATACAACCATAACTAGAAACTGGATAGACAGCAATGATCTGCTTTGTATCAGCAGTGTATCTATCTGGCTACAAAATTTATTATAAGATGAACAACATGTGAGTTGGAAAAGGAGGGTGTCAGAATGAGAAAGGCATAGCCAGAAGGAGAAGCAGCAAGTGAATGGCCAAGGCACATAGATACTGTATATAGCGAAAGGTCCTTTCTACTTTGACAGAGTCTCAGAGCACCCTGCAGGTGCAGATTTTAAGGACACGCAAAATATTGAGGGTTCTTGCACTGAAACAGCTTTGCATTGCCATATGAAGTCAGAAGTTAGACTTCTGTGTTGGTCACTCATGGTCTAGGACTCACCCCTAAATTGTGAGATAAGCACACCCACCCTTCCTCCTGCTCAGACAGACGGCCTATACATGAAGGTATTCCTTCTCCAAAGAGGTTGTTGCCCTTTCTCCAGTAGACAGAGGAGCAAAGATATCCGATAAGATAAAACCAGAAGGCTAGAGATAATTGGCCATTGTGTCTGAAAAATCTGAGATCTTAAAATCCATTAACAACTCTACAGTCAATATAAGGCTATGGGAAAACCAATAAATCTTTCAAGTATCTTGGACAAAAAAAAGCCATCTTTGTCTTCTAAAAATAATTCCACACCAAAGAAAATGGAAAATGAGCCAAAAACCTACACAGGAGTTAACTAATGCTGTTTATTTTTAACACAATGTCTTTACCATAATAGGAATGAAACCCTACAACACTCTCTGCTTCTCTATTCATCTTTGTAAGAAAAAACTGTCTCTAAAGCCACCAGGGTCTCCCCAGTCATCTCAGCACTACAATTAAACTGAAAGAATATATAGTTATATATCATAACACAAGTTCTTACTGGCAAGCTTGGAGATACGCTAGACACCTTGGCTGCAGACTTTGGGGCTACCTGCTGATTTTAATAAAGCCAAAAATAAATGGATTCAGTCCAGAGGGTTCTGTAGCCGGGCAAGAGAGTGCTGCTGAACCTTTACTGAACCCTTTCTCCCCTCTCTCCCAAACTCCATCTCTCTGCTTTTTCTCACAGTAAGGGTGTGATCACCCAGAGAAACAGATTGCAATTTGGACCTGGCAATCCCATGAGATATGGAGAAACGTGCTCCAGACCAACCTTGACCAGTGAGTGCCCAAGCTGGACTTTTTAAAGCCAGCTGTAGCACTTCTACTTTTGGGGCCAGACTGCAACAATTTCCCAGGAAATGGAAAGGTTGCTTTAAGGGAAATAGCTCCCATCAATGTGACCCTTTCTAGTATGATCAGACGGTTGCATTTGCAGTAATGTGATCGCACCCTAAGACTCCATTTTGCAATGGACAAAACATACTCAAAGAAATTGTTTTGGCATAAAGCATAGGTGGGGAAGAGCTCACCACTGCATTTCCCGTCTCCCTCCCAATGTATGGCAGTTCAGCAGACCACGCATTTTGACACCCACTACATGTCACCATAACACCTAGTTTGTCCTTTATTATAACGTCAGTACAGGATACCTTTGAACAGAAAATGCTGCCACTGTCATCTGATAGCATTTCAACATTAGGTTTTATAGCATAAACCCCGAATATTCAAGAGCAGGATCAATACAAATCAGCTTATTTTAAACATGAAAATGCACACTAATACTTTAAATAACCAATTAAGCCTCAAACCAGCCCTGATTTTGTTTAATACCCAAGTGAGATATTTACTTCCTCATGGCTGGGGAGAGGCCCCCTTATGTCACACTGAGATTCAGTGTAACCTTATTCTCTAAAATACCATTCTCCTTTTTAATAAACGAAGGATCAAGAACTCTGGTGAGCATTGTGGCAGGGTTAGAGCAAGGGCTAATCAGAGGTGTGTGTTGGGAGGGAGTGGGGGGTCAATGTCCAGTCACAGAGGAACAGGGGCGTGTGGGGCCCAGGCTTAGTCTAGGCCCTTGCAGGGTTATGAAGTTGCAAGGCTTCTGCAGGAGTGCAAATGACAGCAGTGTAAGAGGCCCTGCATTTTCCATGCTTCCTCCCACAGCAATGTCTATTTCAAGCTGTGCTTTCAATGTGCTCCTCCTCTAGTTCTAGGATCCCAATGAAGTCTCTGTCCCACAGTACAGGTGGCTCTCAAACGATGACTATCCTTTGACATTCATTGCTCAAAAGTTTGATTTCACAGTCATTGTGGGGGAGTTTACATAACGGAAAGCACAAAAAAGCCACCTTTGGAGCAGTGACATTGCAGTGTGCAACATAGCAGAGTTATCACAAGTTTTCCTTTCAACATTTTTTTTAATTTGCAGCATCTTCTTATCTGTGGGCAAGTCACTGCAAACAGAACAGCGAAAAACACAGGCACTGAACTCAGCTTAGCACCCTGTTGAGCTCTGCTCCGCTCAGCACTCTTGAGGCAACTGCTCAGCCCACCCGCTCTTAAGGCTGGCCCTACCTTTTACCATTACTGACTCAATACATCACAACTTCTTAATAGGCAGGCTCATTAGCCTACTTCTGCACTGAAACAAGGATATCTTGGAGGACAATTATTGTGCAATAATATTTTCCTGGATTTCAGTCCCACATCTTCATATGTCATCTGATATTAACCCCATGCAGTCTTCAGAATGTAGTAAAAACACAATGTAGTGATAATGGGGAAACTCACCAGAAAGATCTTCCTGGCCCAGGATAGAGGTCAATGGCTCGTACCACTGAAACAGTTTTTAATATATATATATAATTAGAATACCTTAATTTAATTGCCAAAATAATATCTATGCCCTAGAAGCAAGAACCTACGTTAAATAAGGAGACAGGCTAAAGGGAAGTGTTAGTTCAGGTTTAGGATTTTAGATTTAGGCCACTGGGGTACTTCTAGTGACCCTTCTCAAACTGAACAAGAGATATTACTTTGCCAAGTTATATATAAAAGACAACATTATAACACTTGACTGGCAATCAGAAACATTTTACAGAACATTTGGATAAAGTACAAAACAGGACTCTGACTTCAAGACGGCAAGCATGCAGTGTACCATTATTGAGATAGGAACTCAGGACTATCACACAATTCAGGAACCTAGCAAAACACATCTATGTGCTCAAGCGTCCTGACAGAGGTTCCAAGAAAAGAGAATAACAACAGCATGAGTCCAGGTACTTCATAACATCCAAATTAACACTGCCTTCTTAATTCCTCTGGGTTATTTAATGTTCGCACCTCAAGCAGCCTGGGAGTTTTGACTAGCTGCTGAAAAGCAGCAGCTAACAGCTTCCTGTTCAAAGCGAGACGTAGGAAGTACCGCCCTTTTCCTTGGGCTGTCAACACTTTCCCAGAAGAATTAGTCTTCTCAATCATCATTGACAGAAGGGTCGTGCTGTAAGGAGAAAAGACCCCTGTTAACATGAAACTTTGCTTTAGCTGAAGAGAAAGGTTCTTCAGGTCATTCAAACAAAGATGAAACATGGCACACCTTCTACAGTCTTTCTCCTGACATACCCCAAGGGGCTAAGAATCCTGGAAACCGTGCATTTCTCTTCAAAAGAAAAATATTCCCCCCAGCCTTGGCAACGGATCATAATCTACTGTGGCTCACAAGGTTTTTAAGAAGAGACTTTTATTCACAGGCAGCGGGTTCTGGGTTAAAGAAATAATAATGAGATGTTCTTTTTAGCATCATACAAAACTACTACAGACCACCCACCTCTGAGGAGTCTCCTGTTGTGGAAGCTGTTCTAGCCAGTGCCAGTAATCTTTTCTGTTCAATCCCAGAACTGGCTCTGGAAGAAAACAAAAATATTTCCTTGAGTGAGATGAGTCACAGAGAGTGTTCATTAGCACAGGTAAACTTCAGGCACGACAGATGCAACTGGGGAGGGTATGGGTCTCGCTGTATGTACACCAAGAAGTTCTACTGCAAACACGCACATACATACACACCCCTTTGAACCTGCATTTAATGCAGGTCTAAGGATACATGTGCAGACCAGGGTTTCTCAGTCTTCTTGATACTGATGAACTACTGTTCCCTTCATGCCTTCTCGCTGGCCAGGCAGGCTAAGGCTGATAGGAACTGGTGTTTAGTAACATCTGGAGGACCACAGGTTGTCCAAGACCCAGTTAAACTGTTGCCCTCTGAAAACACAACCACCGGCCTTCCTTGTACACCATGCACCATTCCCACCCATGCTCTACCTACTACACCAGGTTGGCTTAGTTAGTTAGTTATGCATCCTTCAGTCTCGAAAGACTCTCCTCACATGCTTGCAATATATAAAATTATTAGCTGGTATATGGACTGTTCTTTGTATTTTGTGCTTGTAGTCAAATGATTTTTTTAAATTTGCAGTGAGGGAGCAGAGATTCACAACATTTTATGTTACAGCAAAAGGAATGTTTCATCCATCCTTACTTCCCATTCCGTCCACCTCTCCTCCCTATTAATTTTTCCCTAGTCCTTGATGAATGCCATTTCATCTCATTGCTGTAACGCAATGCCATACATCTTTCATAGGGATGAGGCACTCTTGAGTGTTCTATGCTCATAAGAGCCAAGAATGAACACAATAATGAATGAATGAGCAAATGACAAAAACAAATAAACCAACCATCTCCACAGGACTTCTAGTCTTTCTGATCTAATCCTCCCATGTTAAATTCAGTGTTTGGGAAGTGATGTCTGAGGCAGTATGGACATCTCCCAAAGCAAGACAGATGTATCAGATATGTATAGTTCAGCTTTCCTTGTGCAGCACAAGGCTGTTCCACCATCTTCTGCAAGGTACTCCCTTAAACATGAATGTCCACATGTACTTACCCTGAATACCTACCCCCTTGTGACTGGTGGAGTAAAGGGGGCAGGAGTTAAGGGGTGGGAGAAGCAAGAAATGATAGGTAGAGCCAGAGGCAAAAGTAAGTACAGAGTTCACACATGCACACATATAATCAAGCAGGCAAGCAAGCATTCACATACCCAGAGGGAGACACTTATCCAGATACTGCTTTATCCCATTCATTCTTGCCTACCTCAGAACAGAAAAACATACCTTGCCTCAAAATTATAAATGTTTCTCTTGCTGCTGCTTTCATCTTTACCCTCTGCTCCCTTCTGCCACTCTCTCACACACACACATTTGCCCAAGCACTCCAAGTAGGATGAGAGAGGGAACATGGGAGGGTTGGCCCCTCTGCCTTTGGTCAAAAAAGAGGCAGGAGTGGACTAGCTGTGGCTACCCAGAGCCTGAGGTGTAGCAGTGCCTCATTTATCCTAACAGACTAGCCTTCGCTGCCACCTGAAGAAGAGGAAAAGCCGCTTACGTTTTATTCCTTTCCGAAGGATCATCTCAAGAACCTCACAGAAGGGCTGTATGTATGGGCAGGCATCTGTGTATGGGCTGCTGCATCCCTGAAGGTTGAGAATACACACTGCAAGCAAACAGAATATGTTATACTGCAAACGCAGGGCAGAAATCAAAAGAATTTGAAACACCCTCTCTCCTTTTTTTTGGCTGTATTTCTCCCTCTTTTGCTGCAGGATACCACAGTCCTAAATGGAATCCCTTGCTTAAAAATAAAATAAAATCAGGAGGTATACTACCTTTGCCTGAAACACTTATTCTCTCATTTTGTAGAATAAATGTTTTAATAACTTACATTAGAAGACTGACACCCACTCAGCCAAAGAGGTATGAAGTTCTATTGAGTTGAAATGATTTTGCAAAAGTACTGCCATTGAAAAGACATGTGACCTCAAAGGCTGATTTTTGGCTGGCCCAGGGAGCCCCAACGGTGGAGAACCCAAGTATTCTTAGACTGTGAATCCCAGAAGCCTTCACCATCAGCTGTGCTGGCTGGGATTTCTGGAGGCTGCAGTCCAAGAATACATGAGTTACCCAATGTTGGGAACCACTGGGCTATAGATATGTTTCGGAAAAGATATTTTTAAGCAGCCACGGTAATAGAAAACGTGAGATTGGCATCAGAAACTAGAAACAAAGAGAAAATAGAGAACAATGTAATGGGGGCATACTATGGAGCCTAGGAAAGCCACTTCCAGAATACCATAATCAGATGGGCCAGTTTGACCATCTCCCATAGTAAAAAGTTCTAATGTTACAGAAGCCACTGCCTGATCATCATCTGTTTTTGTTCTTGCCATCTTGAACAAACTGCTATATATTGATGTTGTAGTGTATTTAAATTGTTTTATTTTAATGTGTTGTTTAGCCGCCCAGAGTGGTCAATTGATCAGATGGGCAGGAAATAAATAAATAAATAAATAAATAAATAAATAAATAAATAAATAAATAAATAAACAATCTTGTGTATGTTTACTTGGGGCCTATTTATATTTGTTATAATAACTCATAATTAGAAGAGGGAATTCCTTATGTACCAAAATTCTCTGATTGCCACTGGAACTTTTCACACCTCCCACAGTGTGCATATTAGCTTCCTTTGTTTTATGATTGGTCTTCAGATGGAAAGGAAAGGTTCATCGACAAGAAGGATGGCTAATTCACAAAAGACAGCCCGAATCACATCTCTGGAACACTAATAGGTTTCCATCTTCTAGAGATGGTCAGCGATAAGGCCCTTAGAAATAACTCTAATTGTGACCCTAAGGCACTTTGTCCCCAGTTAGTGCACTCAGGAGTGCAACTTCGAACTGTAACTCTACAGCTCATCAGTAGGCAATGGTAACCCACTAGGTGTTTTTCCCCCTGCATCTTCCGTCAGTCCGAGTCAGCTTAGCCAATGGTAAGGGACTATGGGAACTGGAATGTTAAAGACCTTTAAAAAGAGTCACAGATGCCCACTTACGTTATGAACAATTACCTAGTCATAAATCTCAATGAACCTCAAAGGTTTGGATTATTTTCTATTGACAGGTATAAATAGGTTAATGCTGCTAGACTCCTGGTTGTTTCCATTCTATTAGTACAGGGCACACTCTCTCGGGGAAGGCCTTCCTGAGCAACCTGTTTGGAAATGTAAAGCAGCCTCCATCCATCTCCAATGACCTTGTACTGCAGGATGTCTGTTGTGTTTTATTCAGTGCCTGCAAACTACCACTGGAACTCCTAGCATGTCTGTTGTGTTTTATTCCGTGCCTGCAAACTACCACTGGAACTCCTAGAGCACAAGAGCAGCAAAAACACTTTGTGTAAACAAATGGTTAAAAACCCATCCGCCTGGGGCCAGGTCCTGCAAATGTTGACTGTTCTCCAGAGTACACACTCCACCCAGTTATCTCACACCCCAGTGAGGAAAACGTTCTGCTGAAACAGAGCTTGCCTTTTACCGATTACGTAACACAGGACTGAACGCAAGGAGTTCCACAACTCCCCTCAGCTCTAAAGAACTGTCTGCTTGTCCGTACACCTAACCATTCCCCCCCACCATTTATTGTTCTATTCATAGGCTACCCTTCCTCCACAATGGCTCAAGATGGGGCACGTGCTTATTCTTTTTTCACCTTTTCTTCACAACAGCCCTTTTGAGGAAGGTTAGACTGGGAGAGAGGGAACAGGTCGAGGTTGCCCACTCTGATTCTGAAGCTGAAGTGGGCGCTTCCTAGTTCTCGCTTTCTTGTTTGAAAAAAAACCACATTAATGGGTTAAATAAAGAACCCAAGTGGGAGATCTGGGTCTGGTCAGACACTCTATCCACTGCACTCTGTTGGTGCTCAGCAATATCCCTCTTGAGTCTGTTTTGGAGACCATGCTGAATAACTGTTGGGTGGGGGAAAAGACGAATCCCCGGAAAGCAGAAGATAAGTTGAATACATTACTAGTATTGTTATTTAATAGTGCAAACCTATACATGCCTCCTGAGAAGTAATTCCCACTGCATTCAGTTGAGCTTGCTCCCAGGTAAGTACACATACAGTTGCATCCAGCAGCAAGAAGATATAATGATGCCATTGCAGTTTTGTTAAAATAAGTGAATTAAATTGCACTGTCAGATAAAGAAATCTCTAATCCACATAATTCTTTATTTTTTAGGGTGCCATAGAACTCCCTACTGGAGCTGCCATTCATACAATATACAGTACGAACATTTTGAGAAAAGGTATATAGATGTGGTGGTGCTGTGGGCTAAACCACAGAAGCCTCTGTGCTGCAAGATCGGAAGACCAACAGTTCTAAGATCAAATCCACGCGACCGAGTGAGCTCCCATCGCTTTGTCCCAGCTCCTCGCCAACCTAGCAGTTCGAAAGCATGAAAATGCAAGTAGATAAATGGGTACCACCTCAGTGGGAAGGTAAAATGGTGTTCCCTGGTCATGCTGGCCACGTGGCAACGGAAAACTGTCTTCGGACAAGCGCTGGCTCTACGGCTTGAAAACGGGATGAGCACTGCTCCCTAGAGTCGGACACAACTGGACTAAAATGTCAAGGGGAACCTTTACCTTTACTTATATAGATTATTATTTTTGAGGAATCATTTTAATAAGTACCAGTCTCTTAAGTCTCACAGCTGCAGATTTCAGACATGTTAATGCCACATTGCATGTGGCTTTTCATGACAGTGCACATTCTATGTAAATCAATGGTGGAAAGCAAGGCCATAAGCTGATTTCAAATATGAGTTGCAAATCCTTACAAGGAAACTGAATATTCTTTTCTTTTCTTTTGATATATTGTCAAAATGTACAAAAACTTTAGGGTGTTGGTACATAGTTTAGAACAGTGGTTCAGAACCATAAATATTTATAAATATTTTATAATGTGTACAATTTTATACAGCAAAATTACTTTTTAAAAGCATTTTTTAACCTGTGAAATGTTTTAGACACTGCTTATATACTTTATTGCTAGGAGGTGCTTTTGTTGTTCATAATACTATATTTTGCAATGGCCTCCAATCATGAATACTAATGTTCTGTTGTTGAACAGTCAGTGGGTTTTCCTCCAACTTCACAACAGTTTGTTTCCCACTGTGTACAGTGGAGTGATATGAAAAATTCTACGGGATTCAAAGGACAGTTAAGGACAGTGTTAATTTTAAAAAATTATCCAGCTAGTTCTGCATAAAGCTAGATAATAAGCTTAAGCAGTTACAGTTCCTTTTTAATATTCTCCATTTGTAGAACAAATGCTGTGCATAAACTGCATTATTTGCACACTTCTCCTGTACATTGCCCAATAAATGATGTCACTTCTAGAGCAAAATATGGCAATAAGGAAGGAATGTTTCCCTTGGTTTTGTGTTCATACCTGTTTTTCTTGCCTTTTCCCTGACATTAAAGATGGCCACATCTTCGGATGGTATGCTGACTGAAGTGGCCTTACACAAAAATTAAAATGTTTTTACCCCTCTTTTCTCCTACGAAAAGACCCAAGGTGGCTAACATAATTAAAACACAACATTAAATAAAAAAACAACCGCAGTGTATTATTCAGATATTAAACAAATCAATAACATCATGTTAATGAGTGTTTGGTAAAGTGCTACTACTAGAAGCAACAAAATGCAAACCGTCTTGTGTTGGCGCCTCTCCTAGATGGCAAAAACCTGCCTGAAGAGAAAGGTCTTCACCTGAGACTTCGCCGAATAAATAAATGAATGAATGAATAAATAAATACATAAATACATAAATTGGATGAATGAATGAATGAATGAATGAATGAATGAATGAATGAATGAATGAATGAATGAATGAAAGACCCAAAGAGGGGGAAGATGGTATATTGGTTGCCTAGTCAAGAGCTCATCATAGGCATCCTTCAGTCTCCAGAGACTATGGTAACATGCTCTAAATCGAGGAGAGTCCTCTCCAGAGCACGAAGCCTGGGTAAAGTAATATGGAGGATAGGCTGTTACCCAAGCAGCAAATCCCCCCTCTCCACGTTGCGGAAATGGTCCAATGGAAAGGCAAGAGCCAATGCAACTGGTTCCAGTAACGTCGCAGGAGTTGGCAGAACGACACTAGCTAGGAAAATCCTGCACAGATATGAAGGAGCTCGTACACACCATACAGCGTCTAGCAACAAGTGGCAACGGCCACTAAATAGCGTGGGAGCATCGTTACCACAAATAAAAAGAAGCGCCAGCAGTCATGTAAACGTGTGGCCGGGACGGCTAAACTCTTGAACTGAGGGCTAAAATGATGAGTCGTCCTGACCCTGCACAAAAGAGGGACACAACAAACCAAACAAACGGTCTCAAACAGACAGATATTGGGGGTGGGGGTGGATGATGTCCCGGGAACTCCCCTGAATGTAGTCCAGGTGGGCAGAGAAGGGATCCTCCTCACCCTTTCCACGGGACACTTCCCTCACCCATTTAATCTCCCTAGCAACGAGGCACCGAGCACAGCATTACCCGAGCAGCCTCTATTTTACCGGATTCCCAAATCCTGTTAACAAGGAGGCACCTGCTTGGGACTCAAAGGCACCCTCCCTCCGTCCCTCTCGCAGTGCCTTTCACACGTTACATTGCTCCCCGCCTCACCCATTCCACCCTCAGCCCCCACGCCCATGCTCCGTGTATCTCTCGCTCACCTTTCAGGGTCCCCAGCAGCGGCTCCTTCCCGCTCATGCTGAGCTGCCTGCCCCGCTCCCCACCCCCGCCCCCGTCTAAGGAACCGAGGGCGCCTGCCCGGGCGCTGGGCTCCCCTCTGTGGAAACCGGCCGGGAGAAGCCCGCTCCCTTCCCTTCCCTTCCTTTCCGCAAACAGAAGGCAGCATTCTGGGAGGTACCATTTTTACCCGGCAAGCGGGGGTGCGGGTGGGGGGGGTTGGAGAGAAAGAAAGACGAAGAGGGAAGAGACCCCGGCAGGCCCCGGGAATTGGGACTCTCAAAAACTTATCATTTGAATCAATGGTACTGAAACCCCTCCGTAGGGGGGAAAAATATATCGGCACTCCACCCGATACTGGAAACACCAGCGCGAACTCTCCACCTGTCTTTGGCACCGCGGACGTTAAATTGTAGAGACATTCCGAGCATCGCGGGTCGAGTTTAAAGCCTGAGCGGAGCTCCTTCAGATGATTTTCTAAAATGCATGATCACCAGTCGTTTCAAGAGATATTTAAATGTACTCTATACAGAAGCTTGTCACAAAGCCAGAGTGGTGCCATTAGAAAAGGTTCCCAAAGAGAGATGGAAGACTGGAGGGAAGGGGGGAGAGAGATGGCATTTATTTATTGATTTAGATGCTTAACATTCTGCCATTTGATTGAGTGCTTCTGAAATTGGCTTATGCTACACTATACTAATATCACCACCATCATCATCATCATGTGCCATTGAGTCAATTGTGACTTTATGGCCACCCTTTCCAGGGTTTTCCAGGTAGAGAATACTCAGAAGTGATTTACCATTCTTGTAGAATTTTCCTGGGACTGTGCAGCTTGCCCCCAAGGCCACACAGGCTGGCTCTCCTCGCAGGGGGCACAGTGCAGGGAATCGAACTTCCAACCTCTGTCTCCACAGCCAGATTCCTAACCCATTGATCTATACAGCCAGCAGATGCACTTAAACCCAGACCTACACAATTTTGCAGCCCTTAGATCATTTTGCAAGACTCGCGATCGGAGAAAAGTGGAGGAATTTGCCTAAGCGCTTGAGGAAACCTTTCCAGGCCTGACTGATACAAATGCACCTGAACGATGAGAACATTTCAAGAATGCTGTTTATAACACTGCCTTGTCCACATTTGGCAAGAAGACCAAAAAAGACGGACGACTGGTTTGAAGCTCATTTGGAGGAGTTGATGCCAGCCATCGAGGATAAGAGGAGAGTTCTAGCAGCATACAAAGCCTGTCCTAGTGAGTACAACTTGCAGGCTCTTCGACTTGCTCATAGCAAAGTCCAACAGGCTGCCAGGAGATGTTCCAACAATTATTGGCTTCAGCTCTGCTCTCAGATACAGACAGCAGTGGACACAGGTAACATCAAGGAAATGTATGACAGTATCAAGCAGACTTTAGGTCCAATACAGAAGAAATCTGCTCCCTTGAAGTCTGCTATAGGCGTGATCATCCAGGACCGAGCACAGCAGATGGAACGCTGGGTGCAGCACTACTCTGAGCTACATTCCAGAGAGAATGTAGTAACCGAAGAAGCATTAAATAACATTTCAGTGCCTGCCTGTCTTGGAAGAGTTGGACAGCAAACCAACTTTAGCAGAAATAAAAGTGACCTTGGATTCCCT